TCATCGACATGGGTAATTCATCAACGTTAAAATGTTCAAATATTGTATATATAGTGGAAATTGGAGACATATCTTACACCAGATAGAATGAAGGACAGAGAACTAAAAATTTGATATGGCACACTGTTGGGTGTTAAGCCCAGTCGTTCTCTACAACATCTTTAACAATGACAATGTTTTTACAAATGTCTGCATATGTACTATAGGCCAGGGCATAGTTTAGTGATGTTGGAACAGTGATATACTATTTCTAGTAGAACTGAATTTAAATTACATTTGGCTTTATTATCGTTCCACTTCTCGGTGATTACTTTATTTATCTCTTTGTATTTTGGATTACGTATTGGATAGTATGAATATTTTCATCCTAAATGTTCTCAGTTTATCTGTATTAAAAGTTTGTTATTCATTAATTAACATGGCTTTTTGTATCAAGTATGTGTGAAATCATTTTCAACTTTGACATATCAAATATATATTTTATTAGTGAGATTAGTGAGGCAAAAGTTTTGGTATGTTTCAAAATAGGTACAAGTGGTCATTAGATAAAAATTGCATTGGCTAATGAAGTTAGATAGACCAACACTAGACTTCATTATCCATTATGTTAATCCAGATTGTTGTAGGCGGTATTTGTAATGCACCAGTCACATATCATGTGATATCTTCCATCTTCACAATCTGGAAAATGTTTTATTTCAACTGTTTGTGAATGTCAGTTGAAAACAAATATTTGGATAGTATTGTGGATGTATTGGCATTCTATGTAGTTGTAAACAAAGAGAACAATAATGAATAGGCGGACACACTACGTCTCTCCGAAAAAATCGCTTGTATATCTGAACTCTCCGAGCAGTTACAGTTACATCATAGTATAGTTTTAACAATCGCTCGATAGCTCGGCTATAGTTCTGCTCGGCGGATAATAATTATGAATATTTAACAGTTGCAATGCATGTAGGAAGGTGTTCCAATGAAGACATGAAAATGTCCATACTAACACTTATGAAAAATGGTTTGACAAATTGCGTCTCCTTGAATACTACCACTCGGTCACTTCGTACCACGTGGCCACTTGTAACACAGGGTCACTTCATGGCAGACGGTTGCTTCGTATCTAACGGTCACTTCCTGCAACACTTCGTTCTATGCCACTACTTGTGGTGCTCGTTTTAGCCTATTGCACGTACGACATAAATATTTTGTACCAAGTAACTACGTTCCTATGTTACGACGGTTGTTATAAATGAGGTACGGATACAACAAGTTGACTGCTATGCACATCTTTGAATTATACTTTTCAACGTATATCGGGGGCTTGTCAAAATGAAAACAATTAGTCAATTCTAGCATTGTTTGGGATTTTCTTCATTGTACTTAATTCCCCTTCTATGTATGGCAGTATGTGCTCTTGTTGGTAAGCTTGAAGCAGTTTCGTTGCATATTGTTGACACTTTGGAAGAAGCATTTCCACAGTGTTTGATACATTAAATCACAAAACCAATCCTCGGGGAAAGTTGGGACACAGATTGTGAGTCTGAATTACGCATTTTTTGGTCTTTCAGTGTGATTGCGAGTGGTGGCGCACATTCATATCCGTAAATTGAAATTATATCGCACGATAATCGGTATTTTAAGCACACAGCCTTAACGTAGAAGACCTCATATATTGTTCAAATTTATCGATATGATATTACCAGACTTAACATGTTTAGGACTACTATTGAAAAGGGTATTTCCTTCATAGGATTGAATTGTTAATAATGCTGTACATCAAAACGCCAGAGAAATCATATATGATGATAATCCTTGTATTCCAGATACGTAAAGGACGGACACGAATATGTGATGAATATTCTCAATGATATTGACTAGTTTTTTTTAAATTCAAAAATGTAGATTCACAAATTCGAGTGTGATATGAAATCAAAAATTCTTAAGTTGTGATATTCGACCATTCTGTAATATTTTTTGAGTAGTCAATTGATAAACAAACCATCGAATTGGTGCATGCACTTTACTTGTTCTTATAGAGAAATGTTTACAATGGTCATTTGTACATCAGCCACTGCAGAGTAGTATGTAATGTGGCGTAATGTTAAGATAATACAATATCACACAATATCTTCCAACTTGTGCATAAACGTGTAAATGTATAATAAACTAAGAAACGTTAATTACTTCATTCCTGGAAAAGGACATGCATATCTCCAAAGGCGAGTCGTTGAAAAGTGGTTAGTTTTATAAATCATAATTCATTTATGTTTTAAAATGTCTGTTAGTGGTACGTAGTAGATAGTAGTTAACTATGATTTTTTTCCAATTATAGAAATGAAAAATATATAAATGTTTCAGATACATAATGATGAATTTACAATTATTTGCCAATACACACTGATGATGATAACATCATTTTTAATTTACAACAAATTTTCAATCAGAAAAATATATGATAAGTAATATTTGACTAACTTTTGTCTGAATACAATAGCAGTATGTGTACATGTACATATACTTATTATTTATTAACATACAAGACAATGATTATTTCGATTCCATTGGTTGTGTGTCTGGAGTAGAGCGACCAATCTCTTCATAATTACGTGTTCCCTGTTGCTTGGTAACTGCAGGTTTGTTTAGTGATTGATACTGACTGGCAACACAGGGCTCTAATGATTGATATTCACGTGAAATAAGAGTGGTTCGTAGTGCTTCATATTCACTGGTAACTTGGGGTTGTAATGTTTGATAGTCACTTGTTATACACGTATTAGCAACTTCTTCATTCGGTCTCACAGCAACAGGTGTTTGTAGTTCTTCCTCAGCAGTTGAACCACGTGAATCTGTCGTGTTTTCATCCTTAATATCACTGAGTTTAATGTCCATGTTCAGAACATTTCTTCGTAAGTCATTGATCTTTCTCACACTATTAATATGTTTACGCTGATATATGACAATAACTACTACGATTACAATCAATAATAAAAATGCCACAATAGTTAGACTGACTACAATAAAAATGATATTAGGACTAGACGTCTGGTCCATATAAGACAAATATCCAATGAAGAATTCAAGGTTTCCAACAACCACCTGAAAAAAAACGTAATGTAATTGAACGTATTGATGACAACTTCGAGTTTACTATACAATACCACATTAATATTATCACAATATATAGAAGATATCTTACCATCACTTTAGGTAAATTGTTAATAGTTGCGGTGCCATTAATATCCACGCCTCTGGGTTGTGATTCCGGAGGTATGCAGTATAGTATAGTATTACCAATACTTGTTACATTACATATCTCAATTCCAATGTATACGGTCACTTCATATCTCGTACTGGCAAGATTGAGCTTCTCTCCCTAAATACAAATATCGAAGCCACCATGCAATCAGACATGCAATC